GAAGTTCTACCAAACAGGCTCTTAACTTATTTTTTCTGCAACCATATTCATTTTATTAAGTCAAATGCATCAAACATATTGTTTAAGCTGAAAGTTGAGAACTATGTATGGACAGCAACCCTTGTGGCTTTCCAACTTGTAAAGCTAAAAGCCACCCTTTACCAACCAAACCATTATAAAAGCTGAGGCCATTCCCATCTTTACTTCCTTTACAGCTGATTCTTATGACGCTGATAGACGTCCATATCCTTAATACCCTTATCAAAATCCCTTTTTTTCATTTTTGACAAATCATCACTATAGGGTGACAATTTTATGAATGCAAGAAGCAAAACTACAGCTTAAGAAGAGGACAAGATCTGACCACCAAACATTTGACTGACACTAAAATTTAACATTAAAGAAATTAACTTGATTAATCTAAAAAGACAAAGACCAAAAGAGGTTACAATGTGAAGGACTTCAAGGCCCAAAGACTTGAGAGCCTAGAATACCAAAGACAAAATTATGTCGAAAGAAACGAGTAACTTATAAGCTATAATTTCTCAGTAGAGCTCAGAAGAAAAACTCAATTTATCCACTTGTATGGTGTGATTTTTTAGTCGACTGACCTAATTCCTCCTCTTCAGAGACACTTGAATATTTTTTAATTTGTTCGATAACGTATACTATGTCAACAGTTTAAAGAAGAAAAAACTTACATAACAAACGTATGCAAATCATTATATATATTGGATAAACAGAGGTTCATGTGTATTGGTGTGTTATATCGACTTCACTTGTTACGTACGTATTCATTTCTTATATTAACCATTTTAACATGGCCACACATACATCTTTCTTAGCATCTTCAGTTTTCTTATGTCAGCATTATGAGCATATGATGAGAACCATAAGATGAAGGTTAGCAAAGATCCGTAGATTGTGGAAGGACATATGACGAAATCACGAACAAAGAATATCAAGGAAGCCATGCGATTACTTTTTCAAACTACGTGGGCTGAGACTTCAATTGCAAAGAGTAAAACATCAAGTTTCATGTTAGGCATGGAAGAGGAAACAAGATTAGTGCATTTAATTCAAGCTAAGTTAGAAAAAGTGAAACTTGGAGTGTACCCGGAAAGCGGTGCGCGCGTGAACAGAATCGGTCGCGCATGCACAGATGCAATATTGCCACTCGTATCCAAATCAATTAAACGGAACAAGCGTGAGAGAATACACAGTGTACGCATGCAATACAAAAATCTGAAGGTGGTTTAATTTTTCCTTTTTCGTTTAGAACTCTATTTGTTTGATATTTTCTTGATATTTTACGTTTTAATTAGGATTTTTATGAGTTGCCTATATATATGACTTCATTCTTTCATTATAAATTAATGAACTTTTGAGAGATTAAATCAAAGCAAGGTTTCTTTCTTCTTGTTTTTCATTAAACTTAATTTCGAACTTATCAAGGATTTCATCTTTATAGGTTCATAATTCTTGTGATTAAGAGGTCAAGTTCTTTTATAACTTTAGTTCTTTGATTCAATAGATTATTGGGTCAAGTTTCAAACCGAGATTTTAGTTTTTTTTGGATTGTGATTCAACCTTTTGTGAATTTTGGGCCTACTATTACTACGTGGGTTCACATCAGTTGGTATCAAAGTTTTGAATCTAAAATCAAGGTTATATCTTTATTTTTCTGCATTTTTTATTTTCTTCGTTGAGTCTTCATCTTCTTCATTGAGTTTCCATCGTTTTCTTGACTCTTCATCATCTTCTTGAATCCTCTACATCAACAGAAATACCAAGAACATTCAAAAATTGTTTTGTGTAGTAAATTGTGTACACCAATACAATTTTGTTTCGATCTTTCTTGTCTTTGTTAATTTTTCGCGTATTTAGTGTCAAAATAAAAAATAAAAAAAATCTAGAAAAAAATTCAGCAAAAAGAAAAAGAAATTTTCAAGCTAATAATAGGCTTATTCGATTTCAA